ATCCGAAGGACTCTCCTCTGGGCTCACTTTCCATCGCATTGCTTTGTTTTATATCCTTCCTGGGACTTAGAACTTTCTCCCTTCTGTGAGCTGCCCACTCGCTTCTTCTTCATCACTCTGAATGAAGGAGCTGTCATATTCTTATGTGACACTGCCCCTAAGCGTAACACTTCATTGGTCTAGGAGGGCCCCCCAGCTGAGCTGGACCAGAGCCTTTCCTGTGATTTTTAGAACTGGAGTTGAGAAACACAGTCAATTCTTCTCTCATGACAGGCATCTGATACAAAATTCAGCAACTGTTAGTGGTCACGTTTCCAGTCATGTGGAAATGAGTCTATAAGAACAAATGACATTCACATGATGAAGGGGAGAAAGAATGTTATTTTTGAAAGTGCTTTTTGGTTCTGGTTGTTTCCAAGGTTTAAATTATATTTTGGATGTGTTTAGAGTTAATTGAGAAATTTCGCATTAATATTTTCTTTGAAAAAAGTTAAAAGGCTAGAGTGTTGATTGATCTAACTTGTTCTTTCTTGTGTCTAACACTACTCAAACGTAGATATTTAAGATGCGCTTTTGATGATACAGGTGATGAACATTCCACCTGCAGAATGGAAGGTTGGATATTTTCTGTTTAAAGCACACTTTAATATTGAGTGAGAAAACAATGAAAAGTTGTAGAGACAAGAAGTGATCAATTCTGAAAAGACACACTTGGGTGTTTCCATTAATACATCATGATATATCATATATAGCACTAAATTCTTTTGCACACTACAAAAAAAATACATGTTCAGAGGCAAGGCTGGGGCAAGATGTTAAATGTTTTCAAATGACTGCCCCCCCCCCACACCTTAAGGTCCATTTGAACCTTTAGAGAAATCAATCCAATAAAACACATTGTAATTAAATACCATTATGCAAATTATGTTCTGGGCACTTTAGGAGATACGGTGATGAGTAAGTCAGAGACTCAGTCATTAAGGTGTTCATTAAAGGACAGATTTTTTTCTTTAAATTTCCCTTCACCTCTTTTATTTTATTTTATTTTTTAATGTTTTTAGTTATTTTTGAGACAGAGAGAGACAGATCATGAGCAGGGGAGGGGCAGAGAGAGGGAGACATAGAATCTGAAGCGGGCTCCAGGCTCTGAGCTGTCAGCACAGAGCCCGAGGCGGGGCTCGAACTCACAGACTGAGATCATGACCTGAGCTGAAGTCGGACACTTAACCGACTGAGCCACCCAGGCGCCCCAAAAGGACAGATTTTTTTTTTAAGTACATAAATGACTAAAATACAAAGTAGCTGGGATGTTTCTACACAAGTTACACATAAAGTATAATGGTGCCAATGGTAGGAGGAGTCCATGGTTTAAAAAAAAAAAAAGGTCATTTTCAGGTGTAAAGGACCAGGAAAAGGTTCATGACTAAGTTAGGCATTTAAGCTGTACTTTGGAGGATGGGTAGGGCTGCAAAGGTCAGGGATGGTATGAGGAAGCATCCAGCCTTTGAGAACAGGCCAGACAAAGGCATATTTGGCACAAGTATGAAGGACAATGTGCAGCTAATGACGGCCTGAACTCCTAGGATTGGCAGTAAAACAACAGAATGTCTGTCTACTGGCATTGCTATTCACTGCAATTGGGAGGTACAGGGCACAGTATGATAATTTTCAGAAATTTTAAGTTGGAGATGCAGCAGAATATCCCCTCAGGCTGAGCAGGAGGCAGTTGAAACGTGGGGCTGGTGTTTGGGAGGCATGTTAAGACTGGAGATGCTAAATTTAGGATGTAAATAAAACCACATTTATGAAAAGCATGAGCATTATTTGCACATTGTTTGGAACATGGACCAATGAAGGTCATAGACTCTGCTACATCATGATCTCCAGTGACAGTCTAGGGTCGTGTGGCATCAGTATAACCTGAAATTGAAAATCAAATGGAAATGACAGCTCCATGCTCTTGATATGTTCAATTCATTTAAATAACAAATATGAACCCTCATCCTTTGATCCACAGGAAATCCATTCTAAAAACAGAGTGTATTCTTCAAGTTTTTGGAATCCTAACACGTGCCAGGTTCTTCCTAGCTCGTTGCTTTGGCCCCTTCCTGTCTTTCCTAATTGAGTCTCAGGCTGCTGCCCTTTCCATTGTCTCCAAGCATGGACACAAGTAAGGCCAGGCTGATAGCCTGGTGATGACGGAAGGGAAATACCACACAGAAAAGAAAAACCTAAAATTGGATATTAGATATTACTGCTCCTAACACATTAGCCAAGCTCTCCCCAAAAGGCACTGATGTCTATCTCTTCCCTAGCTCCCCATCCTGATGCTGTGTTCAGGGGTCTGCTTACCTCAAACCACCACATTCTTCCAACCTGGAGTTTGGACCCCCAACTTTCACCCTAGCTTTGCAGAGAGAAGCAGGCCTTTCTCTGCCCTGGTCCAAACCTGGCTTCCTTTCCTATCCCAGCATTACTGATAGTAAGAATACTGTCAGTTAGCTTGACTATAGTAATCATTTCACTAGTCATGTACACACACACACACACACACACACATCCTATTGTACCTCTTAAAACTGTACAATATTTATTTAGAAAAATTCGGTCTCTTAACATTGAATTCTTTAACTCTGCAAAAGAACAGTCCTGCTAGAGAATCACCCACTATATATCACTGAATAGAACATGTAACATCCTCTAAGTTAGGGCCTTTTAGAGCTCCATTTCACAAAGAGAGAAACTGATGGTTCAAGGGCACACCAGTAATAAACAGCTGAGCAGGATTCAAACCTAGGCTCACCTAACCCGTCAGTGTACTTAAACATTAAATAATATTTAATGTGCTAGGTGAAAACAACTTCAATTTAACCAGTGGTGAAGTCACAATTTTATCCAAAGAAATTTATATAAGAGAAGAGCCCCTCTGAGGATTTTTCAAATGGTATCATTGCCATCATCTATCTGTACATGGATTTTTTTTAAACTTAAAAAAATGTTTTAATTAATTAATTTATTTATTGAGAGACAGAGAGAGACAGAGCATGAGCAGAGGAAGGGCAGATATAGAGGGAGACACAGAATCCAAAGGAGCCTTCATGCTCTGAGTTGTCAGCATAGAGCCCAATGCAGGGCTCAAATCCACAGACGTGAGATCATGACCTGAGCTGAAAGCCAGATGCTCAACTGACTGAGACACCCAGGTGTCCTTGTACATGGATATTTTTAACATAAATATGGTTACTCATTAATTCAACAAATGTTTACTGTGCACCATACTCAAAGCATATTACTAGGTATTGTGGAAGATGCAAATATGATTTCCTATAGGCATTTATAATCTAGCAAAAGAAAAATAAAACATAATTTGATGACTACCACAAGAAAGGCAAGAAAAAAAAAGGGTTATGGGGGTTTGAAAGTGGGAGAGATTATATGTCCTTTGGGGAGTGGGGAGCTTTAGTGGAAATAGTAGCAATTGGAAAATGTAAAATAAATACAAACCTACAATTAATAAAAAATTAAAGACACATATCTAAATAAGACGGATTAGACAAAATGAGAGATTATTATCAAGATACTGGGACCCCTTCAGCTGGCACCTTTCCTACCTTAAAATTATCAACAAATTAGTTTCAATGAATCTAGATCCGTTGTTGTAATCATGGCTCAAATGTGCTGTCTTTATAGACAGAGGTGCAGAAGGCCACACTCAAAAGAATGTCCCCTCTCAATGGATGGGAAGCATTTAGATAGTCATCTTTCTCAATAGTAAAACTACTCAGGAGTAGCATGGCCACGGGTCATTGATTCATTTTTATTGATGTTTGTAATGTGGGTCAATATGTTGATATCGTTGTGCAGCCCTTATCAGATTGTGAACGACAAGAATACACCAAGTCTGTGAGCTGTTTACAAATATATAGACTTTTTTCGATAATGTTAATGCCCTTTAACATCTGGAGTTCGGAAGCGGCGCAAACTGTGATTACAATTGCAAACTAGCCTCCCTCGCACATAAATTTCTCTGGTTAAGTTTACGGTCCAAATCACACTCTAGCGATATTGCTGTAAAAAAAGACAAGAAAAGAAAAGAAAAAGGAAAAGGAAAAAAAAAATCCCTCTAAGCGATTGAAACTAATCTCTCCTTGGACTACTAATCCCATCATGCAACGCTCCCGTATTACCACTGTGTGGGGTGGAGTCGTCGAAGGGGCGGCAACGACGGTGGCCTGTGCATTCTGGGCAATGTAGTCTGGGGCTCTGGCCGCCGTCAGGACAATCCACGTGGTGCTTCTGGCGGCAGCTTCGGGCAGTGGCTACCCTGCTTCCTCCACCGGATCCTCGAGGTGCGGGCCCCGGCGGGGCCGGACTGGCGCCGCGGAGCAGGCTGCACGGAGGCCCGGAGGCAGCCCGAGACTTCGCGACGTTTTTGCGACAGCTGTGGCCGTGTTCCGCGAGTTCCCTCCCTCCTCCTCTCTCTGAGGAGGTACCGGCTGTTGTGCGGCGCTGCCTTTCTGTTTGAGTGTATGGGTGAGAGAGTGAGTGAGTGAGTGTGAGCGTGTGTGAGAGAGAGGGTGAGGCGTGAGTGCGAGTGTAAGAGGAGGAGAGCCCGCCGCGGCCGCCCCGCCGCTCCCCGCAGCGGGAGCAGAACGCGCGGCAGGAGAGAGCAGGAGAGCCGGCGCCCCGGGAGCCCGCGGGGACAAGGGCAGAGACGCCGCTCCCCACCCCCAGCCGTCGTCCCTCTGCTCTCCTTCGCCCGGGGGAACCTCCCCGTCCCCCCACCCCCTCGGCCGGCCTCTGCCCCGCCGTCCCCCTGGATGTCCCCCGCGCTCTTGCGGGGCCTCCTCCTGCTCTTGCCGCATCAGTCGGGCTGGTGCTGCGGCCGCCGGGCGTAGAGCGGGCGGGTTCCCGGGGGCTGCGGCTGCCGGTGCTTCCCCGGTCCCCACCCCTGTCCCCCGGCCCCCCGACCCAGCTCCCCGGCCCCGGAGGCTGTGACAATGGACTATGACTTTAAAGTGAAGCTGAGCAGCGAGCGGGAGCGGGTCGAGGACCTGTTTGAATACGAGGGCTGCAAAGTTGGCCGAGGCACTTATGGTCACGTCTACAAAGCCAAGAGGAAAGATGGGTGAGTGTTTGTGTCTGTGCCGGTGTCCGCGCTGGGCGGCGCTCCCGCAGGCCGAGGCAGGTAGCCCGGAGGGAGAGTGGGGCGCCGGCGCGCCGGTCTCCCACTTCCTTGACACCCGAATCTGGCCCTGCCAGCCAGGTTTGGGGAGGAAGTGGTGTACTAGGGATCCAAGCCCACACGAAATCCTGCCTGTGTATTCTACTTCGGTGGCTAATAGGGAAAAAGAGCTGCTACTCCATGGGCTGTGTACTTTTCAAGGGTTTCGGTTCTAGATTGAAAAAAAAAAATCGTAGTAAAACGTCAGTTTAAATGGTTTTCGGGGGGAGGGGTCCATTTATGCTGGTAGCCTTCGGGGGGATTTCCTCGCCCGCCTCTGGAGTGACATCCATCAGTCTGGAAGGGAAGCTGTGATCCTTTCCTCCACCAGTTTGTGATTGATTTATTACCAAATTTGGATTTTATTTGGGAGAAAGAAAGCAGCAAGTAAATGTGATGCTGAAGAGTTCTTCATAGGGATCGTCTGTAACCTCAATGTAGCAATTGTTATTTAGATACCATTAACCTGTGAGTTTTACATAGAACAATGGGGGTTTGGTGCAGGGTGGGTGGTGGGGAAAAAGGCAAGGGACTAATAGGGGCTATCGTGTTCAGGCCTGTTCCCCCAAAATTTAGCTGTTGGCAATAAGCTGTAAATCGTCTCTTTGCTTTAAATATTTTCCCCTGCAAATAACTTAATTAAGTCTATGGCTGGTAATGCTCCCAATTGAGTTTCTTAAACAGGCAAGTGAAGTGTTCATTTTTCCTTTGTCAGTAGATGAATGTCGTGTAATATTGACAAAAGAGAAGGCAATTCTTAGTTGAGGGGAAAATATATTTTATTAACTCCTTGTTTTCCTCTTGTACAAACGTTATGTTGATGTTGTCTGTTGCCTTTGACACTATAGAAAATTGCGGGAGAAATCATGTCAGAGTTTATTATATAATCTTTAGATACCAGTATAAACAAAGTAGCTTTACTCGAATATCAATGTCAATTTGATAGCTGCTGTTTTCACATTTAAAAGAATTGCTTTCCTCCCCCCCCCCCCCCCCCCCCCCCGAATTAGGTAAGAGGGTTTGTTCAGAACTATATTAGCACTAAAAAAAAGAAACCGTTCATAAAGCTGAAGTTAGTTGGGGGAGCCATATTTATAAATACTTTAATATTCTGGATATTGGAAAAGGAAGTGTATATTCAACATTTTTCTTAGATTGACTGAGGTGTCTTTCTCAAATAACTTAAAAGGGACTCTTAAAGGAAGATGGTGATTCTAATTAACTTGGTATGTGCATTTCAGTGCTTATATGAGCAGTTAAAGCAGTACAGATATCTGCAAAAGATAGGGATTTGAAAACTTGATACTCTGGTGTGCTGCATGTATTTCAAAGTACTTAGTGGAATGGATAATCTGGTGACATTTGAGAAATCTGCATCTGGAGATACCTACCTACTGTTGACTCTGCTTATATTTTTCATCGAAGTATTGTTTAATAATGTACTTTAAAAATTATCTTTCTCATATAATATTTTTCAAAAGCCTTAAACCATTTCTCTTTCCACCAATATTATGTAATTTGGGGCATATTCAGAAAATTCCCAATGCCATGAGATTACACATAGTAGTACATTTGACCAGTCTGTCATCTGCTTTGTAAAATTCTGGTGATTCTAAATTATTTTTAATCTCTCTGAGAGAAGCCAGTTCTATTTCCATAAATTACTGATTTAAGCTAATAAAATGTATAAATTTATTAACTTTGGTTTTATATTTTATTTAAAAACTATGGTATTGTTTAGTGGCAGGAGGTACTTTTAACCACCTTTTATATCTCATAGTTAGGTTTTAATTTAGACTAAATAATTTTAGAAGAATTAATACAATTTAAAAATAGCTAAATGTACAGCATGTAAGCATTTCTTAGTCATTTGTGATAGCTGAAAATTACCATTGCATTTTGGAAAAAAAAACTTTATAATTTTTGGGCTTGTTTTCCAGCAGCCTTTAATGATTTTGTTTATAGGATGAACTTCAAAAAAATTTAAAAATGATCAAATGTCAAGAGAGTTTTAAAATTACTTAAGACAGTTTTTGTTTTCCAGAGGGAATATTTTTGGTTTGGCTTCTCAAACAGCCTCATCACTCGAGTGAAATATAGCATTGTATTTAGGAGGTTCTTTTGATCTTATGTCAGTGAAATGTAATTTAATGCATTTTAGTCCTGGTAAAATAAAATTTGTGGCTGTTTAATCTTTTGTAAAAAGATGATGACGAAATAATTTGTTTCTAGTATTGATTTACTTTCAAATTAAATTATACATTCTGTAACTGAAATTTCAGAGTACTCTAGGAACGCAGACAATAACACCTTCAAAGAGAATCCTGAGATGTACGGTGAAGTGGGTTTTGTTTAGACCTATTTGTCTATTAGAACAAACGCACATAAATGTATCTTTTCCGTCTTCCAGCAAGCATCACAGAATATGAGCACGTAGTAAAAGAATTCAGACTGGAGGTATTAGCTTCTTAAATTATTAAGTTTTAGGAAATAAAACAGCTCATAAGGTCATTTCTTTGACTCAAAGAATTATTAATACTATCCTGCTAGTATACCACACTTAAAATAAACTCAGCATTTTAAGGAATGTGGGGAAGGAGGAAATACTTTATTTGAAGCATGATTATATATATATGGAAAAAGGACCTTTTGTAATTGTGTTAATTTCAGATTCTAATAGAGTTAAAGCATAAATGCACAATAAATCTTGGAAATAATTTGTTCTCACTGTCACCATAAATGAGATAGTGTCCTTTGTGTCTGAACACCAAAAGGGTACTCAGTAGGAAGCAGGGAGATTCATTTTCTTTCTGAGTCAGTTGCATTTCCTCTTTGTACAATTTAGGCAACCAAACTCATTTTGTTCGAAAGAATGGAAAAGTGTGAGAAGACAAGACAATTTGTGTTTTTAAATTCTAAACTCTCATTACAGGGACTGGACATTTCTAGCATTTAAAAATCAATTTGAGGTAAGAGTTTGATCTCCAAAAAAGAAAAGCAAAAGCAGTTTTCTTGAACAGGGTTCTTAATTTGCTGTACTCTGTGTTCAAAAGAACAGATTATATATAATTGGGATTATATGTGTGTGTTTGTGAGAGACAGAAATATACAGAAAACTTTTGTTGGGGCACTTTTGTAGGCAACCCAAAAATTAGGAGGCAGTAATAATAATAGCTAAATTAATGAGTATTACTAGGTCCTGGGCAAAGCCCTTTTACATTCATCATCTATTTAATCCTCACAAAGTACCATATCAAGTCAGTTCTGTTTTTCAGTTTTACAGGTGAGGAAACTGTTAGAAAGGTTAAGCTGTTAGAAAGGTTAGATAAAATTGTCTATGCTTATATGACTGATTAAATGTCAGAGCTGCAATTAGGGGATTACAAAAGGTCCTCTTATTCTAGAGCACATGCTCTTAACCATTATGCCTCATAAAGCTAATATATTAAGGTAAATATAAACCTAGACGTGGAGATTTGGTGTTTTCGTGGGTCATTTGGAAAACATGAATGTCTTACCTATCAGAGGAGTAGTCTTTTCAACTAACTCAATTAATTGGTATACTTTTTCAATACATTTCTGAACAGCGTTGGTTTTTTCAAGTGCAACAAGTGTTTATGTAGATACGTCGGTGTATCTATACATACACACATATATACACATATATGTATGTGTGTGGAGGGGGAACCAAAGGTCTTCTGGTAGAAGAAACTCAAGTTGGGGAGACAAATACTGAGTTTGAGTTCAGACTCCGCATCTGATTACCAGTATGACCTTGGGCAAGTCACTTGCCCTTTGTAAACCTCGATTTCCTTATTTGTAAGATTAGAGGGCTTGAGTTGATAATTTTTAAGGTCTTTTCTAGTGTTATGATTTGGGGAAATAAATTATGAATATAAAGTGTAATACTTTTGCAAGATTAGGTAAACAGCCACTAAAACAAATTTTACTTTAGGCAGTGATACACGTCTTTGTTTCTTAGTCTCATGCTTTAATGTAGGTTCTCACCAACTGCCTGAAAGAAGTTAGGTTAACTTCCAAAGACATACCAGCTATTTTACCTGTCTTTATTGCTGTAGCATTCCATTATCTTTATCTCTTAAGACGTTGGGATTTAGGGACTGTGCTTGTTCCCACTCCAGTGAACCACTCATTTGGTGGCTAGCACAAAGGACCCTTCTGATTCAGTCTGCATTGGGGCTTTAATTCAGTTTTATTTCCTTAATTATGATCAGAACGTGGTGGAACCCTTTATTTCCCCTGAAGGGATCGGATAGTTTTTCTTCTGAATATTGCTGAACCCTGCATATATGTTCAGTCTGACTTAAATATTTCTTTAGACGTCAGAAATGCCAAATACAACATACATACCCATTACTGAGGATTTTGCATGCCCAGGAAAGAGTATTCCTTATAACTTTTTAAAAATGTGATGGAAAGGGACACTGTTGAATTTGTCTACCTTAGATATTCAGTGCCTTCAGATCTACTGGTAAGGCCACTTGGAGGTTTCATGCTTAAATCCCATTTTCTTAGTAGCAAGACTGGCAAATTAATTCATTTGGGAGCTGTTCATTTGATTTTTACTTTTTCTGTTTCTTTCAACATTTGAAGAAATCCATACAGTCATTCGTTAACCAATATTTATTGGACTCTTGCATGTGCCAGGCACCGTCCGAAGTACTGGTAATACAAAGATGAATAAAATATTCCATTACTTGAGGAGGTATCTACTGGGGAAACAAATATAAATAAACTGTAGCGATTTAATAAGCGCTATAATAATTAATACAGGGTGCTAATGGAACACAGATGGAAACTGCCAACCCTGTTTAGGGTTTTCAAGGAAAGCCTCTCAAAGATGGCAGCATTTTGTTTGACTCTTAAAAGAAGGGGAAGATCTC